GGGGGGGGGGGGGGGGGGTTCCTCCTAACCCATGGCCTTCAGAACAATCAATCTAAGAAGCAAGAATACGCACACTGAACACGGATAAGATAGGACCCGACATGGATTTTTGAAAAAATAAAAAGAATGCAAACAAGCTGGGGACACATTGAGTGCTTCATATGTTTTAGTATGTAAGTTAACATTCAATAAAATAGTAACATTTTCAATTAAATAAAGAGGTAAAAAATCCAAAATAGAGTATCATACATATCTATACAAATTCATTATAGACATCTGTGAAAAATTACTACAATTTCAATTCCAAAAAGAGCTAACTTCGTAGCCCCAGTTTCCGTTCAATTTTGATGAATCACTTGAACCTTTTGGACATGAATAGTTAGTCGAGTTGAGTGACGAAAGTCTCATGTTGTTACTCTCTTTTTTCTTCTCTCGGTCAGCATCTGTCCTTTCTCACGTGAGCAGACCCAGAAACAAATAAAAGATAGCAAACAAACATGTGTCCTCTGTGTTTTGGCCACGTGCCACTGTCCACACCATGTCCAAAACTTGTCAGGAGAAAAGTAAAATAAGAAATTTGACCAACCAAGCACACAGGTGTGTGTTTTTAGTCTAGCTGGTGCTCAACTAGCTTTTGGAATAGGAAATGGTGCCAATGACATCTACATGCTGGTGGGTTACAGTTTGATGAACCGACAATAGTTTGTGAGAAAAAACAGGTCTTTTTCTTTGTACCAAAAAAGGAAGGAAAATGATGGATCTGAGATTGCCAAAAAAGGACAAAGCATCAATGGAATTGAAGAGGAGTCTTTTTGGCCTTCTCCATAGGAGAGGAATTGATTTACCTTGACAGGGCAGTGTTTTGACCAACTGACAAGCACTCACAGGGAGATAGCAGATGTAGGATCATTTTGATTCATTTTAGCCTGTTTGATACATGTCCTAACTCCTAAGTGTTTCCATGTCCGAGACGTGTCCAACACTGACACTCCAATCCAAATAAGGTGTCCGCACTTCCAAGCAATCAAAAAACCATCAAATCCACTTATGTGGTGCTTTGATATTGATTAATATGTTCTCCAAGAAAAGCTCAACAGAATTTTTCGGATTTGGGCACTTGGATGGGTGACCTACACCTAGTTGTTTACATTTGTGGGTGATCTCCACCTAAAGAGCGTAAAAAGAGTTGAGACTTCGTTCTTTATTGGTAAGATTTTCATACGACAGCTACAGTGTATTTGACATACCACTATCAACCATAACTAAATCCCATAATCTAAGCTTAATGATATGTTTTTATAACTCAAATACCAAGACATTGAACATGTGACCACTGCCTAGATTACTGGGGTCCTAACAGAAAGGTTAGCTTATAACTTTATAAAGCAGTGTGTAAATTTAATCAGAAGTTCTATTTTTCACATCTTCAAATGAGGCCACTTTCTAGTATATTTTAAACGGCGTACACTGCATTGTAAGGAGATGGTTTTTTTTTTTTTTTTTGTGTGTAATATTCATCAATTGTATACCTGCATTGTATGGGGATGAAATTTTATTTGTGGCATTCATGAATTATATAGAACTGCACTACTTTTCTGTAATCACCTCACTCACAACTTTAGTTTTCCTGCAAGTTCTAAGGAGGTGTAGGATACGGAGATGGAGTCAAGTTGCCGCTGTATTTGTGGGTGAAATTGTTTTGGCTGAATTTTGACCCTGTATGAAATACTGTACCTTTTGAAACTCAAATTTATGTGTTAAAAAGTTTTTTTCACAAAATTCCTATTTTTTGGCCAATTTGTGTATAATGTTGAGATGTTGACAGTTTTTTCTTTTCCCAAACAGTTCTTTTTGTTCTAAAATGGTCTTAATAATTTCTCTCCAAAGTCTCAGTTTTATTGGGCCCTTCATCCGTTTTTTTGGGTCTAGGCTGTCAATGTTATCTAGAATTTGGAAAGGTATGCTAGTGTAAGAACCTTTTTGTAACTGATAGGTATTGCTTTCTTTCTCCTGGGTGAAATGATTAAAACAATTCAAAGCTGTGCACACTTTTAACTACTGGTATAAGTTATGGTTGAACTTGGATGGTCGAATCATTTCTATTACCTGCCTATTTTGATTAATGTGGAAGCCTGAGTTAGAAATGAGATATGGTCAGATGTCTGGACACCTTTTGGGTTGGACACGCAGCTTGTGTTAGTATTGAATATGGTTCTTTTGGGTTTTTATTTTTGTTAGTGTCATAAAGAATGCTCTGCTGATGTTGATCGCTGACAATGAAAGGATTGGAGATGGATACAGATTTTCATGTGAATGTTGACTGTTCATGATGACCTTGTAGGGTTTCAATGCAAGCATTACTTAGATCTGTGAATGTGAGAAAGAAGGGTGTTGTATGTTTGTGTGTGCCGAGCATGTGTGCGCGTGCGCATGTTCTTGTTTTTTTTTATTACGGTGCTTTTTCTGTCTTTTTTTCTTGTGCGTGTGTTGGGGGTTTTTGGTTGGTGGCGAGCCACTAAGTGCCCTTGAGTTACTGGATTGTTGATGGCATTTGCTCTTTTAGTTATGGTGTTAAACGTAAGAAGGAAACTGACTCTCATCTTATATCACCTGCATGATCATGACCATTCCCCTGTAAGAATATCCGGGCATTCAAGCCTCATACTGTGATTTTCCTTGCAGGTATTTGCTTAAGATCATTGGAAGTGGAGAAAATGTTCGCTTACAATACCGTTCGCTACGGAAGATCCCGACCTCCAAGCCTGCAGAGGAGAGGTGTCAGTCCCAGCCAGCTCAGAACAGCGGCTGATAGACCTGATTATTTTCAATATGATATACAGTTTAGAATCGCATCTCACCATCTTGCTCCACTAGAGAAATGTATTATATGTTGACGTAGTAAAATGTTGTTTATCACGAGAGAGAGAGAGAGTTTCCTTAATTCCTAGGTAGAAGCTTGTAAAAAAGTAAAGCTTGACGATTTTAAGAATATTATGGCGCCTGTTAAAGGCTTCCTTGTAACAAGGTTTCAACGACGACTATTCAGAAGTACACATTTGATTCGTGTTTTATCCCTTTGTGACAGTTGATAGGTGCTTACAATGCAGAATGCTGGTGCCAGACAAATACATACTGCTAATCTGGTTTTCATGTTCGTTTGCTGTGCCTGTCATAGAAATCCTGGTGATTTGTGGCACAATGAATCCCGACTCTAGGTCTGAGGATTTCTGTACTCACAGCAGACGTCATTTTATGGCATAAGTCACCCCAGTATTTAGAAATTCCACGCAAATGGTAACTAAATTAATGGACTGGATCAGCAAAAAGTGGTTTCACAGATTATAAATTTTGATAGTGCTTCAAGACATAATTTCCTTAAAGTACACTCAAGAAAGATACTAGATGATATTCCTATCTTGAAAGGTAATATTCTCACAATCTGAGAGACTGGGTAGTGACAACTCTGATTTGAAGAGCCAAGGGGTTTTTTTTTGATCATTTTCTCTCTTGCAGATAAAAATAAAAAAATGTGCGGATCGGGAATTGTCCTGCTCCTGGAGGTCTATGTTAGGTCAATACTAGGATTTTTTGATTTAGTCAGATTGACAATTGAGCAATCAAGTGACTCGCTTGGGATGAGTTGTTCCAACCTTTTTTCTTAAGGTGGTCTGTGTTAGTTCTACAACCGTTAGGTGCACAATTTAATAACTTAAGGGTACGTTTGGTAAGGGTTGGGTTGTCAATTTTTTCGTTTTTGTTTTCAATTTTTTAAAAATCTTGAAATTTAAATTCGTTGAATAACTGTTTTAATTTGTTTTTGAACTACAACCGTTTTTAAAGTTGCCTCAAATTTTAGAAACAAAAAACAAGTTGTTTTCAAAAAAAAAAATGGGAAATGGACGGAAGACATTTAATGAGATTTTACCGTCGGATCTTATTAGCAACAAACTAAGCCCACTACCAAAAAAACTTCAAGCAAAAATATTTAAACCCTCAAAGTCTCTCTCCTCTTGTCGTCTCTCTCATTCCCTTCGTTTAACACAGGCGTTCCAACAGAGGAATTCCAGGCGTCTAGCAGCTTCGTTCCAAGCGTCCAGCAACTTTGTCTCTCTCGTCTTCACCTAGGTCGTTCACAGCAACTTCGTCTTTCTTACCGAGGTAAGTCATTAGATTTAGGGTTTTCAGAATTTTTTTTCCTATTTTTTGGATATCTCTCAGTAGCTAGATTCCTTAGATCTAGGGTTTTCAGAATTTTTTTTCCCTGTTGTTTCTTTGAGCCGCCATCTGATATTTGGGCTCTTGGTTGAATTGTGCATGAGATGTTAACTGGTAAACCCGCATGGAATGGGGAACAAGAGTTGGACGTTGAAGATAGTCTCAAAAAAATTGGGAATGGCACGAATTGCCTAAAATTCCATTGGAGATATCAAAAGAGGAGAGAGATTTCCTGAAGGGTTGTTTTGTAAGAAAGAAGATGTACAGATTTACTGCTGAAATGTTATTGAATCACCCATTTGTGGAAGGTAGCTGATGATGATGATGACTGATGAGACTTTTCTGAAAAACCCTATGATGAAGACACGTGTCCTCGGTTTTGCTAAAACACTGTTGCTCGGATCAAGCATCATCGGCGACGAGTGTCCTCGCCCCCGAGGTACCTCATATATAGGATCATGCATTCAATATATTTTTACGACCAACACGCGTCCTCGGTCATCTATGTACCTCGGTCGCACACCTCTCTCGGTCCCCGAGACGAGTCTTTCCTCGGTGCCGAGAGTTACTCCGTCCTGGACGCTTCATCTACTCCGAGATAGGCTATTGACGTACAGGTCACTAGCCTAGTCTAGTCTAGGCTGCTCATCATGACCTCGTCTTACACAAGTAATGTCAGAACATACTGGAATACAGAGGTCACAGCCAATAAGGGATGGACGCGTGGCAAATGATGTCATATCAAAGACAGACAAACTGCAAGCCGTTGCTGACATGCGGCTTGGGAAAGCAAACAATTAATTGCACCATTCCCTTGATGAGACCGCATTCAATGCGGTAAGGCTCGGAAGTGAAAGACAATAAATGCTCCTATTACAGAGCATTTATTGCATCCTCCCCGAGAGGAGCATATTGTACCGTCGGCATCCCGACGACTCGGCATTAATTGCTCGGGGACCCCGAGCAGTCAATTAGAGAAGACATTCCTCATCAGAATCAATGCACACGCAACCTGCACCTAATGATCACCTACTGACCACACTGACAGCAATCATGAGCTTTTAAGGTATAAATATTCCTTGCAAAAGGCAAGACGTGGATGCAATCACAAACTCTCTACGACAATACTTTTTCTCAGTGTTTTCTCCTTCCTCTCTCTCACTCAAAGACTGACTAGACCGTCGGAGGGGATACGCCGGAAAACACTCCGGCGCCCTTCTAACTTGTTCTTCTTTGTTCCAGGA